GTGCGTGGCGATGTCCTCGATGGTGGCACGGCGCTCTGGGTTCACCATCAGCATCCAGCGGATTAGCCCGCAGGCATCTGGGGAAGAGGCAGGTCAGGCACCGAAGGGACTGTGGGGGGGAATGGGACACATGGGGCAGGAGGTTCTGCCTACCAGACAGTTTTGTGGGCTCCCGGTAGTCCCCGCTTGTGATCTGCTTGACCAGAGTCTTGTAGTCGTGGCCATCGAACGGCATCGTGCCGTGGACCAGGATGTAGAGGAGAACGCCCAGGGACCAGCTGTCCACCTGTCGAGGGGACAGACCAGCATGGAGAGGGGCAGTGGGACCAGGCTACCCTGGCCCCCCCCCCCGCTGGGCAGGACCCCCACCCACCCCCCACCAGCTCCCAGGACAGCAGCTGCAAGGGAGGACAGAGCATGGGGCAGCTCCAGCCACCAGCATCCCACCACATCCACCCACTGGGGTTGCCACACACTGACCATGCAGCGCTTGGTCTTAGGGGACCTGATACCCCACGACATCCCGCAATGCTCAGCTGGGAAAACACCCAGCGCTGTCCCCAGTCCAAAAGAAGAGGCAGCAAGACCTCCCCACCCTGCAGGGAGCGAGGCACAACCCACCTCCGGGCCCTTGTAGGGTCTCCCGTTGATGATTTCGGGAGATGCATACAGAGGGCTGCCGCAGTACGTCTGCAGAAGTTTGTCCTGCTGGTAAACGTTGGACAGCCCAAAGTCTGCAATCTGGAGAGACATTTATAGCTGTTATCCAGCAGCAAATTCCCCATCACAGGTAGAGCAGTATTGCCCCCTGAAGCTCTCGAGCTGCAGCCTTGGCTGAAAACAGGGGGACTCTCAGCACCCCAGACCCCACCATGGCCCTGGGTGACCTTGGTCTACTTGGGGAGCAGCAGCATCCCAGCTTTCCACCCCTGAGGCTGCTCCTACTCCTCCCGGAAAGTTCGTCCCAGCCACCACAGCAGCTGCCCCACGGCTCTGCCCCTCCAGCCCCATCACCAGCACGCCAGGAGGAGAGGCAGCGGCAAAGGTGTGGTTGGAGGGAGAGCTGCTGGGCTCCCCTCCAGCTCCTTCCCAGCCCCAGGAGGCTGCTCCAGTCCCTATCTGCTCCACCTTGCTCACAGCCATTCATTATGCTCATTACGCCCGTCACCTCTCAGTGAGCAGCAGGTACAGTCCCTGCTCGCAGGCTCCCAGTTGCTGAATCACCCCTCACCGAGACAAACAGGCTGCGGGACTTTATCACCGACCGCACCAGTTCCCGGCTGCGGCTGTGCCTGTCCTCGCTGGGTGGCTGCAGCGCTCCCAGCCAAGGCAAAAAGCATCACTTGGGGCTGGTGGAACTGGGACCTGTCCCACACCTTCCTCCACCAGTCTGCCCAGCGTGTACTTTCACTGGGAGAGCACTTTCTTATCCAGCCGGCCATGCTTTGACCCCAGTGTTCAGACTTTGCCCTCTTATCAGCAGGTAGATACACAGTTATGGCTTTAACGGGCGGCACTGAGGCTCTGCTGCCACAGCCTCTCCCCGCAGCTGCCGGGCACAGATAGCAGGGGACAGGCACAGGCGCCTTCCTGGCTCCCCATCCCCTGGGCAAACAGCAGGCAGGCTGATGCCAGCGGTCCCAGAGCTGATGGATGCTTCCCAGAACTGCAGAAAATCACGTGCCCTGCTGGGAACCGGGTGCTGCGGCCACCCCCATCCATCCGTGCTGGGCAGCATCCCTTAGACCCCCCCTTTGCTGGGTGAAACCCAAAGCGTGGCGGGGCTCTGCCAGCCTCTCACCTTGATGTTCCCGTTGGCATCGAGAAGGATGTTCTCCAGCTTCAGGTCCCTGTGAACGATCCCGTTCTGCAGGAGGGAGGGGAGAGCCGGGGTTAGTTTAGTGTTTGCGGAAGGGAAAGTCAAGCAGCACGGGGAGGTCACTGCCGTTCACCGGCACGGCAGCACACAAACAGGACACGGGGACAGCACTCAGAGGAGCAGTAAACAACCCTGGGTGCGTGGAGGACGGGCTGTAAGCCACGTCCCGACACGGGTGCTGCCAGCTCCCCGTGCTGCTTGGAAGCTCGAGCAGGGTGGCACCCCGCACCAGCACCCCACACCCAGCAGAACGGCTGGTGCCAGCTCCCACTGGGGTACAGCAGGCACAGCTCCGTGCTCTGCTGGGATCTGCTGCTGCCCAGATAAGCGAGA